GCTTAAGTACTACACCAGCCTAGTAGCTCAGCTACAAGAAAGCTCATGTAACACTTCAATTACGAAATCAAGCAAACCAGTTTCAACAAGTCAACAGATTTGGTCAAGAACATAAAAAAAAAAACACCTGAGAATCAGAACTTTGCTCAAATTCTCAAATATTTCAACTAAACTAACAAGAAACGTTCAGCTTTATCTTCCAGATTTGAGGAATCTAACTCGCCATTAAAGTCAATATCAGTCATCGACTTAAAGAGTAAGAAAAAAAACTTGAAATATTGAGTAGATCACTTACAGCAGCAGCGAAGAACGTTTTGTCACCAATCTCCGAGAGGAAAGTCATTGCGAGTGACTTAGTAAAACCCTAACAAAACCCATCAATTAGAAAACTCCGATTAGCTTCAACATCGAGAATTCCAGAAGAAAAAGTCGAAATTTTCATAGAAAGAGATTAGCTTTCAACTGCGATTGCGTACCTGAACAAGCGAAGCCATGGCTTCCGGGTAAAATCGAGAGGGAAATACCGGCAAAACTCACGTCGGAGCGATCTGATTCCGGCGACGGAGAGAGCTAAGGAGTCGCGGAAGAGAAGGTGAATGTTTTTTTGTTATCTTCTTCAGGATTTTGGTTTGATGGGAGAGAGTGGAGTGCACGCGATAAGCTAAATTCAGAATCTTTTCTTTGGTTAGATCTTGCCACGTGGACGAATAAGATTCGAAGATCTTTGCTATGTGGGACCCAAGTAGACAGAGAGTGTGTTTACTGTTTATATATTGTCTAGTTCCACTGCTGCTCCATTACCAAAAGGTCACAAGAAGAATACAATGCTATTCGTTGTTTCTCTTTCAGTTAAACATCTTAGAACATGTTTATCCATAAACCTCAAAAGTATCATTAACATTAATTTATGATTAATTATATTAGTAGATTAATCTTTGAAACTCAATTAGATTTTTATAATTTTGGTATGTCCAATGGTGATACTCAATGAGTTTCACACCTTCTATGAATCAAATGATTCTTTTATACCAGAACATATCAATCAAGAGAATGAAAATCTCACAAAGCGACAACGACGCGAGACGATCCAGTCGCCAAAGCCTTCAATCGCGCAGATCGGAGAGACTGCGAGATCCCGTCCAATCGCCACAGAGAGAGGAGACAGCTGAAGAGATTGCTGACGGAGACGAAGAAAAACGTCGGCGAAGAGAAATGCCGACGAACAGATACGGCGACGAAGGGAGAAAATTCTCCGTCGTAGTCGCCCAAATCGGCTCTCTTCGAGAGAGAGAGAAGCAAACACGAAGAAATGAATTTTTTTTTACAGTCTGCGTAACCCTAAAATGAACGGGCCAATAAGAGGCCGACACGTGTCTCTTGTTGATACTGATCAAAAAGATCAGTATAGCATACTGATCCGGCTCAACCCACAATGAACTCAGTTTATTATATAAAAATTCAAAAAGGCCCATGAACCTCAAAGAATATGTCCGATAAACATGCTCTTAGCTCTAACAAAAATCAGGTTTCTATCCACTTAACCAAGTGAGTGGTGGAATACTAGTTTCCACTTGAAACTGAATTGTTCCGTGGATCAAAGTTAGAGTTCAATTTTTTTTAGTGCGAAATTATTTAACTATTTTTATTTGGCCAGTCGAAATGGGATCATGTTTTACGCCCATTAGAAAATTTGGTGAGTGGAATACTCAACAGTTACATTCACCCTGTAAGAATTAGTCGGGTGGTAAAAGTTCATATCAACCTAAAAAGAAAAAAAAACATAAATCTCAAGTAAATAGAATTTGTATTTTTCCATAAACCATTCTCTTGGTTTGTTAAGCTGATTTTTGGTTTCCTTTAAAATTTGGGAGGAAAGTAAAATTTCCCCCGATGAGTATTAGGTCTCGTCAAGTAGATTCTAAATGCAAAGAATATGTTCATGCTTAAAAAGTGATGTAACCAACCCTCACCTTATTTGTACCCAACACAAATATTTTTCCCTTTGTAATGAAAGCTTTTAGGTTTTAGCCAAACATGATCCTTGGGCTTCTCTGTGAGACCCCAAATGAGACTTGAAGCAGCAATTTTTTTTCCACCACTTATAGGCCAAACAGCACATAGAAAAACATTAGTAGCAAAAAAATGTATAAATTAATAAAAACTAGATAATTAACCTGCACCATGTGCGGGTATGAAACGTTTTAGAGAAATAGATAAATTTTGGAATCTAAATAACACGATTTATTGTTTATAAAAATAAACATGAATGATTGTTTTTTTAAACATTACATGCATATTTTAAACTTTATTCTTTTGTTTATTCTTTTTCATATTTTTCTTCATCTATTATTACTTGTATTTCTTTGTTTTATTTTCCTTTTCTTTTATCTAAGTTTTTTTTTTTTTTTCTTCATCTATTATTACTTGTATTTCTTTGTTTTATTTTCCTTTTCTTTTATCTAAGTTTTTTATTTTTTTTCGAATTTTTTTCTTATTTTTCTTTCCTCTTCTTCATTATTTTTCCTTTTCTTTGTATAATTCGAATTTCTAATTTT